TTTCTTGATATTGTGACCAGAAAACGTGGTTACTATAGTTAGCATGACTTTACAAAGACATTGCTTTAATATTCACATGTGCACCACGGAGAAGCTTAAACAAAACCTCAGCGTATAAGAGAATGACGAGGGCTGATTGGTTAAGGCGATGGATTCAAAATCTGTAAGGGTTCTTGTGTTGCAGAGGTAATGTCTCAACCTCTGGTTAAGGCCTGGGTTCAAGTCCCAGAGGTATGTCAAAATCTGTCTGAACAGGTCAATTAAAAATCCCTATAAGAAGATATTGGGGCCAGGCAGGGCAGGGATTGTGAGGTGGAAGGTCTGATAAAGTGTCTCATGAGGCTGAATCAGTTTAAGGAGGCATACGAGCTAGACCAAAAAAAAATTGGTGAGATTTGGATCAACACCCTGTGAATTGTTATGTGTGCAGGTTTATTTACCCTTGGAATGAAGGATACACTGTAAAACGTACAGGAATGGCCTAATTCCTTGGTTACTCAGAGACATTGAGAATTGCCACATGATGGTGACAAATCAAGAATATGGAAACCTAACCTTAAAAGTTGAGTTCAGGATTTAAATTGTGAAGTGCTTTTTCATACATAGCAAAGTGGATATCTGGAATTATCTCCCTCGAGGACGATGTGGATGCTGGGGGTACAATTCAAGATTTTAAGACTGAGATTGGTAGATTTTTGTTGGGTAAGATGCAGACCAGTCATGAGCTATTTGTGTGGTGGAGTAATCCAGGGGGTTGAATGGCCTCCACATGCTCTACTGGGCTGAATTTTATGTTTCTTGATGGGGTGAGGGAGGTGGAATGGAGGGTGAATGTTCTGTTTGTTCCCACCTGCTGTCTTAACTCACCCAATCAACCAGTGGATGGTCAACCAAGGCTGGTAGTCAAGCCGACTGTCAAGGTTCTGAGGAAGGGTCACCGGACCCAAAACGTTAACTCTGTTTTTTCCTTCACAGATGCTGGCAGACCTGCTGGGCTTTTCCAGTGACTTTGTTTTTGTTCCTGCCATCGTCAGTATTTGCTGTCACATTCTGCCATGGCCCAGCTGGCATGTTTTATGTTGCAGCAGCAACCATTGGCAGTCAGTGGTTGAGGTTGGGTTCTGCTTTCTATATTATGTCCAAGGGCCTATTTGGTTAAGAGCGATAGAGGATAAACCATTAGAGAGTCTTAAAAAGAAGAGGGACTTCTCTTAACAACAAGGTGTAATTATTTGCATCATAATGCTAGGTACAAGTTACACTGACTGGCTAGACAAAATTACCAGACTATGGGCACCACACCTGAGGAAAGATGTATTGGCCATGGAAGGAATACAACATAGGTTTACAAGAATGGTATCTGAACCTCAGGGGTTAAGTTATGAGGAGGGATTACACAGATTAGGCCTAAATGTTCTAGAATTTAGAAGGTTAAGAGTGATTCAATCTTCAAGATATAAGTAGGAAAAGACAGGGTAGATAAACTATTTCCATTGGTTGGAAATTCGAGATCTGGGGGGTGGGGGTTTAGCCTGTAAATTAGGGATAGTTTATTCAGGAGAGAATGTAGGAAGCACTTGCACACAGGATGGTAGAGATTTGTAACTCTCTTCCATTAATGGCAGCAGTACTGGATCAGTTGTTAGTTTAGATCTGAGTTAGTTAAATTTTTGTTACGCAAAGGTGTTAAAGGGATATGGGCCAAAGGAAGTTGTATGACGTTGAGCCACAGATCAGCCATGATCTCATTGAATGTTGGATTAGTCTTGAGGGGCTGAATGGCCTACTCCTGTTTCTATGTTCCTATCAGGATCCAGGGACGACATGTCTGACCCCATTGGGATCTAGAGGACTCCTTGACTCTCTACCCAAGACTGTTTCACTTCATCGGTTTAGGTGGAGCTTAATGCGGCACCAACGTTAATCCTTTCAGAACCATTGCTACCTCATCCTGGTGATTGTAAACCCCTCCCAAATGTTTTTACTTCTGGTGCATAAATAATACAGTGAACAATGTTGCTCTCGATAGCTTGTTAATTAGTAATTTCATAATGGCAGGAGGGCTCTGCTTTACATGCCTGCTAATCCTCTGTAATTCTGGAGACACCCTGTTGTAGGTTTGTGCAGCAGTGAAAGCCAACCTTCATGTACTTAGCCCAGTATTATCCACACTATATTATCATACCACACATGGTTGGTTTTGCAAATGATCTTCCTTTCTCACCGTGCACTGCTGAAGGTAATTACTCCTGCTGGTCTTCTACTTTGACAGACACTAGTAGTCTCTTTCTCTACCTCAGGCAAATTGCTACAATACGTTAGCAAGCTAGGGGGTGTTGTGTCCTCAGCCAACATCTAGATGTCTGGCACATTTCCTGGAGGAGAGCCACTGATTGACAATCAGGAACATGAATCGTAGCTGCCTGTCCCACATCTTCTCCGAGCCCAGTGACTCTGAGGCCATTGACAATCAAAATGAACTTATTGAATATAGACTAGATTGATCCTAGAACCTTTCTGGCTGCACCTCCATTCAACAAAGCAGTCACCAAGCTGAGCACAGTTTCTATTTGAATTGATATAGCATCCTGAACACAGACATGATGGATGAGAGTGAGTTAGTGCAAACCCCTAAGGATGAATTGAAGTTCACATGGCATAAAGAATGAAAGACTGGCCAGGGAGAACTCTGGAATAGTTAAGTCTGGAGCTGACAAACAGACGGATGAATGTTCCAGCAGTGGATGAGTCAAGACAGGGTGGTATTGCAAATGTGGAAGTAGACCGTTTTATTAAGAGAGAGAAAGTTTGGTCAAAAGCTTAGCTCGAGGTTAAGATTCCAAGTTTTCCTCACAATTAGCTCCTGCCTGAGACAAGAGCCAGGGAGACAAGGCTGTTTAGACTTATTTTAGACTCAAAACTACGTCATTTATTTCTGAAGAAGGGTCCTGACCCAAACATCAACTTTCCTGCTCCTCTGATGCTGCCTGGCCTGCTGTGTTCCTCCAGCTCCACGCTTTGTTATCTCTGACTCCGGCATCGGCAGTTCCTACTATCTATCATTCAGTGTAATTCTTTCTGCTCCCAATGTAGCAGGTAGACGTTTGGCACATGACTACAGTGCATGGTTGTGTAAGGTAAGGTTCTGAAAGGGTTAATGTCAAAGACTGAATTAAGCTCTACCCAGTGTCATGATGTCATGCAGTCTCGAGTGGAGTCGAGGAGTCCAGATGTGTCACCATGGCTCCCGATATGCTGAGTAATTATGTTGATAGTCATTGTAACTTGTACCTCTTTCTATCATGCAGTGAACTACATCTTGCTGTTAAGACAAGTGCCTCTTCTTGTTAAGATTCACCAGCGGTTCTCCCTGTCCTGCTGTTAATCAAACATGCCTTTGAACTCTGTATAGAAAGGAGGTTTGGCAGTAGTTTTTTACTGCAAGCGTTACTTGGTGGTAATTGGTTTCAATATTTATGGCATGCATCAGTAACTGTGGTACCCAGGACATATATTCACATCACAAGTAATTCCTAGCTCCTTATGAATTGTACAACAATTTTGCAAAGGCTTTGGAATTTCTGATGAGGTCTGAAGATGATAAGTTTTGTCCTCTCCATAATTAAACAAAAAGAGTGATGAGGCTGAATTTATTTGGTGTGTATCTCTCATGGTTAGTGAAAAATATCCACGTCTCTAATGGATTGATTCTTTTATTAACTTGCCAAGAAATGGTTCCATCCAGAGATCCACACAATGTTTTATCTGAACTCCATTGTATTTGTTTTCTAACATGTCCCCTCAATGAAAAGAGGTGGCTTTTCAGAGGTGCATGCAGCACTGAATAGAAATTGAGCTTTACTTTGTACAGTTGCTGATTTATACAGTGTTTCTTTTCTAAAGGTTTGATTCTGAGCCAGAACTCTCGTAATTTAACTCTTAAATTGACAAAATGTCTTTTGGAGGTTCTCTGGCTGCTCCTGTAAATTGTCGAGTGGTGGTGTGTGTGTGAGGAGCTGGGGAGTAGGGAGAATTCAGTAACCTCTTGTTTTGTGGTGACCAGATTCTAGACCCAGGTGAAACGTTGTTCACAGTACAGTTTGGCATGAGTTTTGCCGCTTTTATTATATAGTTCATTCCACTGGCTTCATTAATCACTGTTCTCCTGTGGATGGAAATTTGAAACATTATGTTACTGAAACTCCTTTCAATTTCAACTGTCATTGTAACAATTTTGCATTGAAACATTTCTCCGCATCAGTCCACTGGTTCTTTTATTAATTATTTTAAAATGACCACATCTTTACTTCTGGCTTTACTAATATGAATTCACTGTAACTGGGACTGATTCCGTTGCATACTGGCGTTCTTTGCTTCTGTTTGAAGGTATTAAGGAACTTCTGTAACTGTGGATGATGTAAAATGGTTCTCAAAGGGTAAATTCTTCTTCCAGTGGACACAAAACAGACTCTCTACATTGGAGCACATCCAAGAAACATTTAAAAGACTTGCCATAGTTGAAGGAGATTTAAGACAGGAGCCTGCACAATAACTCCTTACTAATATGAATGTGGAACCAGTCCAGTTCCTGATTTCTGTCAGGAGATTTGTAAAATGGCTGAGAGAGGATTTGTTAACATGGTGAACGGGAAAAGGAGTAGAGACTGGGGTATGAGCTAAAATCTGTTATAAAATCCATGAGAATATAGTGTTTGATTGTTCTTACTGCTTTTTCCAGGGAGCAACCGGTGTGAGGCATTCTGCAAAATGGATCGTTCTAAGCACAAACAAAACTTTTTAAAAAACTTTTGTACAGTTTTGGTGGACTCAGTTTAAACAGAACAAATTAATCCGTTGTGGCCCATCACATTGTGAAATATAAAGAATTATAGTCCCTTAGGTTATAAGTGATCCATTATAAAATTATCTATACTTATCATGAACGCACAAGTAAATGGGAAGATGGTATTTATATGAAGGAATGCTGGTTTATATTTCAGAGAAGCTAACTGTTTGAAATGCTCTGCGAGAGTTCCATGCTAAACAGTATCCAACAGGTGAATCGTTTGCTTCTGGTGAGGTAAGAATGTGGATTTTACATTTAACTATCAGGGGAGATGAATACTTCTGGGTAGCACTTGACCAGGTGCACAACTGGGTTTTAAAGGTGGCACCAATCGCAGGAATCCTGGGAGGTTCTGGCATTGGTCAGTACTTCTGCAAGTGTGACTGAGAGAATATAAGCAGAGCAACACAGTGACATGGTTCGTAGTTTGTCAGACGAGTTGGGAAAACCCGCTAAGACTTGTAGAGAGAGACCCTGTATGAAACTGAACAAAAATGACAATTAGCTGAGATAGTAGGAACTGCTGATGCTGGAGTCTGAGATAACAAGGTGTAAATCTGATGCTGCCTGGCCTGCTGTGTTCATCTAGCTCTACACTTTGACACTTAGCCAAGTTTTGGGAAGATTTAGTCCAGTCTTTCCTAGGAGAACATTCTCCTCATTCTAGGAACCAATTTAGTACACCTTTATTGCCTACTGTTTATGGCAAGCACATCCTTCCTTATGGGAGACCAGAGCTGCACACAATATAATTGGTATGGCCTCAGCAATGCCTAAATGCAGTAAGGTTCTTTGCCTGTATTATAATTATTTGTAATGAACGTTAACACACCATTTGCCTTCCTCATTGTTTGCTTTACTGCATGCTAACTTGCAGGGTTTCATCTAGAAGGACACTAGGATCTATTCCAAAACTACTCAACATTTTTCATTTTTCTTATGAAAGTGGATAATTCCATTTTTTTCTGAGTTTTACTCTCTGGTTATTCCATATCCTTGCCTGTCCACTCATCCTAAGTATATCCCTCTGCAGCACTTGGATATAATATGTTCAGCTCCTCAAAATAATTGTTAATATTGATTAAAAGTAGCTGAGTACCAAGTTGTGTCTCATTAATTATAGCTTGCCAACCTGAAATATTGTTAGTGGGTTTGAGGAACCTGTGAGGTTTTTATTAATGCAATGTTTGCCCATCCCAAAGTGCCCTGGGAATTTGGTGTAAGGTTTTCTGGTTATGGTGTTCTCACTATGAGTTTGTAAAGCCCAGGAAATTAACCAAGCAGTAATGTAGCTGTAGCAACACACGTTGCTGTGTGACTTGGAGGCGATGGCATTCCCAAGCCATAGACCAGTTAAAAGCAATTATCCGAGGACGACTGGATACTCCTCTGTAATGGTATCCTTGGATCATGTTTTGACTTAAACATTTTCAATGTTGGTAAGCATCTACAGCCAGCTGGCCACGCGTAATCGAATAGCAAGTACATCATCTGACCTTTCAGTCGACTGTATTTATGCCATCTCTCTACAAGATCAACTTGGCCAGTCCCGCTTCCCCAACCTTTCCTCGTGGCCCTGTACATTTTCTTCTTCACATAATTATCCAATTCCCCTTTTGAAAGCCATTGTTGAATCAGTCTCCAGCAAACTCCCAGAGCGCTTCTCAGATCTAACTGCTTGATGCAAAGAGAATGTTTATCCTCATCTCACCTTTCTTCATTTTAAATTTATGTCCTATTGCCAATGGGAACATGTTCATAGATCAAAGAATTCCCACAGTGTGGAAACAGGCCCTTTGGCCCAACAAGTCCACACCGATTCTCAGAGCATCCCACCCAGACACGTTCCCCTATAACCCACCTAATCTACACATCCCTGAACACTACGGGCAATTTAGCATGGCCAATCGATCTAGCCTGCACATCTTTGGACTGTGGGAGGAAACCCACGCAGACACAGGAAGAACATGCAAACTCCACACAGACAGTCACCTGAGGCTGGAATTGAACCCAGGTCCCTGGTGCTGTGAGGCAGCAGTGCTAACCACTGAGCCACCGTGCCGCCCTAAATTTTCTGTGTCCAGTCTGTTCAGCCCCGTCATGATGTTGAAATCCTCGACCCGTCTCGACCTTCACTTCTTTAAGGAGAATAACCCCAAATTCTCAATAACTGAAATCTTTTACATTTGGAACCATTCTTGTAAATCTGATATGCACCTGATCTATTGCCTTTGTATCCTTCCTAAAGTGTAGTGCCTAATACTGGATACAGTTGACGCTGACCTAGTGCTTTATAAAGATTTACCACAACTTGCCTGATTTACTGTATTTATAAAGCCCAAAATTCTGCATGCCTTTCAACTGCTTTCACAGCCTGCTCAGTTGCCTTGTGTTACCAGCATGTCCCTTTGCTCCTACACCCCCTTTAAAATGGTATCCTCTTATTTATTTACGTAATTGTTATTGAAGTAAATAAAATGTTTTTCTTTTTGGATTTCAGATAAGATGAAGCCATAATAGCCAAGTCAGAGGACAACGGAACAAAGTCATCCAACTTAAAACATTTCTCCAGCTTTGTTACCATGGAGACTGTGGTTATTGTAGCAATTGGGGTCCTTGCGACTATCTTTCTGGCCTCCTTTGTGGCCCTCGTCGTTGTCTGCAGACACCGTTATTGTCAGCCCAGCAACCTGTTGCACCCTTTTGACTCAAAGTAAGTGCCATGAAGGCTTGAGGCCTAGCCCCTTTTAGAAATCGATCTGTTCATTTTCATGTTGATACTGTTCTGCCACAGCGATCATCAGAAGTACTTATAGAAGCTGTTAATTCACAGGAAGGGGCCAAACACAGGCAAGTGGAACTCGTTTAGATTGTGAACAGGGTCAGCGTGGATTACTTAGACCGAAGGGTCTGTTTCCAAGCTGTATGACTCCATGACTCCATGTCAGCCCATACCATTCCCTTTTGAACAATCCAGTCAGCCCTACTTCTCTGCTTGATAGCTTTAGTTCTGAAAATTCATTTCCTTCAAGTGCTAATTAATTTTCTTTTGAAATTATTGACAGCTCCTGCTTACGCTACCCTGTTTTTTGGGCAACAAAATCCAATTTATTACCACTCACTGGGTACTGAAGTTCTTCTTCATATTCCCCCTGTGGCTAAATCTTAAATCTGTGTATCCTTGTACTTGTGCAGCTAATGGGAAGAGTTTTTTTTAATGTCTGCTTTATCTAAGCATGACAAATTTGTATGCCTCCATGAAATCCCACCACTGCACCCCCCCAACTGAATCTCCTTTGTTCCATGGATAATAACTCCAGCTTTTCCAACCTAATCTTGAAACTAAACCTCAAATCCTGGAACCATTCTGATAAATTGCAACTGCAACTTTTCAAGAAATTTTACATCTTTCTGGATTGTGGTGACCAGAACCGAATGCAACTAATCAGAGCTTTGTAAAGGTTCAGCATAATATTCCCAATTTTATATTCATTGCCTTTATTTCTGAGGTCCAGGATCCCATAACCTTAACTAACTGCTTTCTGAATATGTCCTGCTATCTTCAAAGATTGATGCACGCCCCTCTGTTCATGCACACGTTTTAACATTGTGCCATTAATTCCGTTCTGTCTTCCCTTCTATCAAAATATGACACCTCCCATTTCTCAGTATTGAACTCCACCTACTATTTGTGTGTCCATTATGCTAGCCCATTTATATATGTCCTGTTGCAGGCAATTCGTTTCACCCTCATTGTTTGCCATTCCCCCAAGTTTTGTATCATTGTCAGAATTTTAAACTTTATTCCATACTTCCAGATTCATGTCATTTACATGTGGCACAATGATCTTTGCATTGACTCATGGGGAACATTATCCTCTGACCAAGAAACAACAGACTTTCGCAACTCACTGCTTTGCATCCATAAACCGTTTTTTTTAATCCAATTGCCAATTGAATGTTTACCCTGCTATTCCATAAGCCTCAAATTTATTGACCAGTCTCTTATGCAGTACTTTGTCAAAAGCTGCCTTAGAATTCATATAGACATTTATTGCATTACTTTCATCAAACGTCTCCATTACTTCATCAAAACAGTTCAGATAACTCTGCCTTCCACAAATCTGTTCTGCTTCTCCTTACTTAGCACAGCTGTCTCCAAATTCCCATTGATTTTTTTTTGATTATGGATCTCAAAGCTATAGAACATACTGATCAAGGAAATTCTCCTGAACACATTTCACAAAGTCTTCCCTCCTCCTTACATTTTATTATAACATGTATGCCACTTGTTATTTGGATAATGAAATTCTTAAAATATCTGATCTCTAATTCATGTAAATCTTTGGGATTCCCCTGTAAATTCATTCGTTTTTTATTCTCTCACATGACTTAGCACCCTATAGCATTCCCAAGTGGTGTGATCTTACCTTTTTTGTGTTTCACCTGTAACAAAATGGACTCTGTCCTTGCCTTCCTCAAAGGCATCTACTCTTTCCAACAGCACAATGTCAGCCTTAATCAGAATAGCCACTCCATCTTCTCTTTATCCTTCTCTATGTTTTCGGAGTACTTTTTGATCTTAAAATATTAAGCTCCCAGTCCTCACCATTTTTAAGCCTTGGTTCTGCTATTGTCATGACATTGCTGTGAAATAGAAGTCACTAAGCAGCAGTTAGCAGACTACAATCCCCACTAACTCACTAGCAACTTCAGGAGATCCAATAACTATGCCTCATTTGAGTCTATCTGCACCAAGCCAAAAATCCAACATTAGTCAGTGCATTTATTGTGTACCTCAGGGAGTTTGAGCATTCAATTGGACAAGAATTGCCACTAATTTGCAAGATTTTGTCTCTAAACTTTTCTTGGCCTTTTGATGATGTGGAGGTGCCAGTGTTGGACTGGGGTGGGCAAGGTCAGAAACCACATGACGCGAGGTTATAGTCCAACAAGTTTATTTGAAAACACAAGCTTTCGGAGCGCTGCTCCTTTGTCACGTGAGGCCTGTGATTTCAGACCTTGGCCCTTTGATAACAGCCTGAAGTCTGCTAAAGTGTGGGCTCTATCATAAAAAGGAAACACTTGATATGTCTGTGTGTGCAAAGACTATTTCTCAAGCTCCTTTGTACCACACTTCACAGATTAGTGTCAGTGAGGTGGTTTAACTTAGTTCTTTTTGTTTAAAGACATTGGTTTTCACTGGAGATAAACAATGAATCACAAACCTTGAATCAAATAATTGACTGGCCAGCTCACTGAAGGGAGAATGCTCATTGAAAATTCTCACTGGTGACTGAAATTCTAAAAATAAGGATCCAGACAAACAAAGACCAAAGGAGACCCAGTGCAGTAAAAAGAATGGCACACACAAACATAGAATAAATTACATTCATGGTAATAGCTGAGAAAACCGCTGTTGCTGAAGAGACTTTTATGAAGAGAGTGTCTTCCAGGAAACTTTGTTATTGTAACATTTGGTGACACACTCCCTCTGCTGGATATATAGAAGAATAAAACACTGAGATGAGCCTGTTCCAGATACTTTTGTGGAGAATTATATGAAAAGGATTAATTCCAGGATATCCTGAAGCTGTTTTTTGTCGCCTTCATCCTGGTCGGGTCTTCTGATATCTCTTGCTGGTTTCAAGTGCAGTGGTCATTATTTTTGCTTAATATGCACATTATAACCTTTGACCTATAACATGTCTGCTCGGCTCAGCTGGGATGCTTCACGTGTTTGAGGCAGTGAGTTGAGTTCTACACTAGGCAGGGACGTTATTAATCTAGGATGACACTCTAGCGTCATTAAGTTCATTAAGTTCAGACATATATTCATGTGAGTGAACAGGTTTTATTAAAAGTAATTGTATACACTGGGACTTGATTAGCTCAGTTAGCTGAGCAGCTTTGCATTGCAGAGTGATGCCAACAATGCGGATTTAATCCCTGCACCAGTTCAGGTTACCATGAAGGATTCTCCTTCTCAACCTCTCCCCTTGCCTGAGGCGTGGTGACCCTCAGGTTAAACCCGCAGCAGTTACTTATGTCTGATGAGGGAGCAGCCTAGTCTGTTAATGCCATGGCAGCTTTACCTTTTATACAAGGCATGTTAAAAGAGGGTGTCTTCTGGAATCCTATAGATTCAGGCTCCAGATCTGACAACACTGTGTCATAACTGCTTATGTGCATGATCAGTAACTATTCTTGAAGTAAATGTATAATTAATCCGTTACTCCACATCTCTACCCAAATTCATTCACAGTTTCTCCTTTTAACCATGAATATTCAATCATGGGATTTCACCTGTTTGCTTCCTCTGTTTTCTCCCCTCTGACAAGGCACTTTTGTCTGAGCTAAGAATTTCCGATAATTAATGTTCTCAGTCCCCGGGGGTGGGTGGTGGTGGGGCGGCGGGGGGGAGGAGGGCAGTGTGCGTGGAGTGGTCTTTGGATGTATGGGATCCCTCACTGTGTTGGAAAGCAGTCACAGGGGTGGAGTGCAGCGGCAGCCCCGCAGGATTACTAGCTCCTGGGCTGGGAAGGCTAATCAGGGTAAACATGATTGAGACAAAAACAAACTGTAGCTGCTGGAATCCAAGGTAGACGATAGGCAAGGTAGGCGATGGCCTGGTGGTATTATCGTTGGACTGTTAATCCAGAGACCCAGATAACATTCCAGGGACCCGGGTTTGAATCCAGCCATGGCAGATGGTGGAATTTGAATTCAATAAATATCTGGAATTAAAAGTCTAATGATGACCGTGAATCCATTGTCGATTGTTGTAAAAACCGATATGGCTCACTAATGTCCTTCAGGGAAGGAAACTGCCATCCTTATCTGGTCTGGCCTACATGTGACTCCAGACCCACAGCAATGTGGTTGACTCTGAACTGCCCTCTGGGCAATTAGGAATGGACAATAAATGCTGCTTAACCAGTGACACCCTCATCCCGTGAGTGAATAAAAAAAAACAGGAAGCTGGAAGAACACAGCAGGCAAGGCAGCATCTGGAGGAAAGGAGCAGTCAGCGTTTTGGCTATTACCCTGAAGAAGGATAAGCAGAGCTAAGTTTTCAAGTCCTATACCCCTTCTGAAGAAGAGCAACAGAACGTTGACTGTGCTTTCGCTCCACAGATGCTGCCAGCCCTGCTGAGTGTCTCCAGCTATTTCTGTTTTTGTTTCATTTTTGGTACATCCTGTTCTTGTGTCTTCTAACCTTTCATTGAAGATAAGCAAAAGATCTGTAATATCTTTCTGTTGTCATAGGGATGGTGAATCATCAGTGCTGCTCTGTTTAATAAAGAATGATGTTGACTGGGGATGACTTACACAGTATCAATAATCTCTCTTATTGCAGAGATGGATAACCTATATCTAGCCTTGGCTTTGTTATGTATTATAGTTTTTGTACGGTATGTTGGGACAGTTTGCGTGAGCACTTGGTGAGTCATCAGCTATGTTCATGACATGTTCAGACTGGTATTGAGTCTTTACAGAGTGAATAAAACCTCCCTATTGGATTGCAGCGAATGATGAGTTTGTGTCATTTTTTTAGCTTTGACTAGACCCTAGTAACTGCCTGATACAGAATAGGTTATTATTGTGATTCTTCCCCTACCATGAAGTTTGACTGAAGATGATTGGTGAAATTGACATGGATAATAGGAAAGGCATATGAAATGTTGCCCTTTGTTTTAAGGGGAATGGAGTATAAAAACAGGGAACTGTATAAGTGTAAACTATGGCCCACCACCATAAAAAGGAGAAATGCCAGATTTGGGGCTGTGTCTTGGGATTCCCGACTACATCAAGCATTTTCTTCACAACAGAGATGCTCTGTCTTAGTGAAGTCAGGTCCTCTGCGGGTGAACATTAAAAGTCTCAGAAAATTTCAAGAACTGTCTCTAGGGAAAAAAGTGTCTCTCTTCAATAGTAGCGTAATAGGTTGTGAATAAATCAAGAGGCTCCAAATTTAGTCATTAAATCACAGCTTCAGTTGTATGCAGTTATCACAATGGAAAATGGGCCCCAGGCCAGTTCCTAAACTAAAGTATTGGAAAGGTTCAACTACATCCAAATGCTTCCTTAACATTCACAATTTCCATTTCAATCAGGGATCATTGGAGCAGCCAAGCCTTAGAGCCCTTGTCAGTTTCTCCTTTGTTAAGTCAGTGGAGCTAAGCCCAATCATAGATCATTTTTAGGTTAAAAAGAATAATTTTAGAATAGGCAAAGAATTAATTAAGGTCAGTCATTTCAGCCACAAGACATCTCTGCACGAGTCAACAAATGTGAAGCTGGAAAAGCCCAGCCAGTCAGACAGTATCCAAGGAACAGCACGCTGGCTCAGTGGTTAGCACTGCTGCCTCACAGCGCCAGCAACCTGGGTTCGATTCCACCCTTGGTTGCCTGTCTGTGTGGTGTTTGCACATTCTCCCCATGTCTGCGTGGGTTTCCTCCAGGTGCTCCGGTTTCCTCCCACTGTCCAAAGATGTGCAGGTTAGGTGGGTTGGCCGTGCTAAATTGCCTGTAGTGTTCAGGGATGTGTAGACTAGGTGGGTTACAGGGGAATGGGTCTGGGTGGGATGGTCTGAGGTTTGGTGTGGACTTGTTGGGCCGAATGGCCTGTTTCCACACTGTAGGGATTCTAAAGTGAATTTTTTGGGTCGAAACCTTTGTCTGGACTGACAAAGGGTTTTGGCCCGAAATGTTGACTTACCTGCTCCTCGGATGCTGTCTGCCTGGCTGTGCTTTCCCAGCTTCACATGTATTTACTCTAGCTTCCAGCATCTTACTGTCTTCATATCTCTGCAGGAGTTCCTCAGGGTGGTGACCTAGCCCTGTGTGTCTTCAGCTCCTTTAACAATGACCTTCCCTCCATCCTAAGGTCAGATGTGGGGTTGTTTGCTAATAATTTTGGAATCTTTGGCACCATTCACAACTCCTCATACTGGAGCAGTCCACATTGACATACAGCAAGATCTAGACAAATTCAGACATGAGCTGATATTGGTAACATTTGCACCACACAGATATTATGACCTATCCTTGAGCAAAGCTTTCCAAATTATTATGGTTTTTGATAGGATATTCCAAATTGCCGAGATCCCAGATGGGAAGGGATGAACCGGCACCCTTTTATTCACCGTGCCCCTCCCTTATTTGGTGGCAACATGGTTATTTTAATAAGGACTCCTTTCATTTCTCCCAGACCAAATGAATTTAAAGCAGACAGTTTGACCGTGCTAACAAAAGAATGAGTTAGTAATGACTAAACGCAAGAGGAAATAATAATGTAACACATACAGACAGATTACTTATGAGAAGTGAGGGTAAGACAAGGACAAAAGTTAAAAAAGACACAGATCAATCTCTGAATTTTGTGAAGAGTAGATGATGGCTAGAGCATCTGCTATGTTGGGTGATGCTAGTAGCACCAATAGGAGCTCAACAACACTGAAGAAGCTCAACACCATCCAGGACAAAGGAGCTCATTTGATCGTGTCCCATCTAACACCTTCATTCCTTCCAATACCAATGCACAGTAGTAGCAGCGTGTACCATCTGCATGATGCACTGCAACAACTCAACAAGTAACTTTCAACATTCATCCAAAACTGTGACTTCCATTACTTCGAAGAGGGCTTCCCAAAGTGGGTCGGGACCCAAGTGGGGTTGTGAGCTGAAATTGTGGGGTTGCGAACTTTGACAGAGCAATAGCCGACCTTCCTCTCCTTCCTCTCATTGATCTTCTCCTCCCCCACCCCTACCTTTCAATGAAGGGTCACAACAATTTCTGAGCTGCGAAATGAGGTCATGCTTGAAAAATGTTTGGGAATCACTGGCCAAGAAGAATAAGGGCACCGTCAGTTTCTCTCCAAATCACACATGATCCTGACTTGGAACTATATCCCTGTTTCTTCACTGTTACTCGGTCAAAGTCCTGGAACCCCTGCTTGAAGAGCACTATGGGTGTACCTTCCTGCAGAGACTGTATCAATTCAAGAAGGCAGCTCAGTACCTTCTCTGAGATAATTAGGGATGGGCAGTAAATGCTGGCCTAGCCTGTGTTGCCCACAGTCACTGATTAAATAGATAAAAATACATCCGTTAGCGTTACTTTATGTATTTTTCCAAGCTGCTGATTTACCCAATGGTTTTATTTGTCCTGCAGGCCTACAGTGGATCTCATTGGTGCAATGGAAACCCAGAGTGAGCCCTCAGAATTGGAACTGGATGATGTTGTTATCACAAACCCTCACATTGAGGCGATCCTGGAAAATGAAGACTGGATAGAGGATGCTTCGTATGTACAGCGTTGTCTTTAATTACTAATTTGCCAGTAGTCCTGAACAAATGCTCATCATAGCTTCCTCACAATTTAGGGAAAATGAACCTGAAATCAGTCGTATTCCCACCAAGTTAAACTTTTAGTATCCTGAAACCGTGTGGCTCACCTTATTCACTTGTTCTTAGGCAACCACCAAAGACTTGGCTGGTACTTCTGTGCAGTTCTGAAGGAATTGCACTCCTACAGACACATGCCTTTTGGTTGAGATTTTAGAATGAGGCCTGCCCTGCCTTTCCAGGCAATATCAAAGCTCGCCTGTGACCATTTCAAAGAAGTCTCACCAATCTCTCGACAAATCCCTCAACCAGTGCAACCGAGAAAAAAAACTGCCCATTATCTCATTGCTGTTTGTGGGAACTTTCTGTGCACGAATTCTCTGCTACCACTCCTACATTAGAACAGAGACTGCACTGCAAAAGTTCATAATTGGCTGTACAGTGTTTTGGGATGTCCTGAAATGGTGAAAGATGCCAGAAGTACCATGTCCAGTTCTGGTCTCTTTGTTATAGGAAGGATATTTTCAAGCTGGAGAGGGTTCAGAAAAGATTTACCAGAATGTTACCGAGAATGGAAGGTTTGAGTTGTAGGGAGAGGCTGGATAGGCTGGATAGGCTGGGTCCTTTTTCCATTGGCGTGTAGGAAGTTGAGGGTGATTTTTTTGTATTATGAAGAGTATAGATAAGGTGTCTTTTCTCTACGGTGGGGGATTTCAAGATTAGAGGATGTGTTTTTAAGGTGAGAGGAGAAAGACTTAAAAAGGACACGAGGGGCAACTTTTTTACACAGAGCGGTTCGTGTATGGCATGAACTGCCAGATGAAGTGGTGGATGCAGGTATAATTACAACATTTAAAAGATATTTGGGTAAATACAAAAATAGGAAGGGTTTGGAGGGATATCAGTCAAACACAGGCAGGCGAGACTAGCTTAGTGTGGGATTGTGGTTGGCATGGACGAGTTGGACCGAAGGGTCTGTTTCCGTGCTGTATAACTCTGACTATGACTGTATGACTGTTTGGATCCTGATGATGTAACTGGGATCTGTCTGCGTGCTGTTTGACTCTGTGACTCTAGATGCAAATTATTCCTTTCTTTAGTTATCAGGAGATGAATGGGAATGACTCAGTGACAAATCCTTGTTTGATTTTCTTTCTTTCATCTGGGTTCCACGTCAGGAAGTATCTAGGATCTGATCAAGCAGTTGCAAGGTGAAGATTAAGAATTTGTCTGGGCGGGGGGAGCTTTACAATAGCAGTGACATAAGGCTTGATTTTCTAGTCAAGATTATTTGAATGCAAATAGCAACTTCTTTGAAATAAATGGGTTTCTGCTGGCGTTAAAATATTGATCAGAAAATTGAGGTGATTTTGGATTAAAGTTTTCCCAACTTTCATAAATCTTGATGGATGAATGACAAGATCTTGCGATTAATTTTTTTTTAAATGATGCAAATTGGAGTTTAGCCTTTAATGTGTTTTGTCTGGTAGGACCCTACCAATAACAGCATAGGAGATGCAGTGAGGTAACAGTATCGTCACTGGATTAAGAATCTAGAATCTCAGGCAAACATTCCTGATTGTCGTAAAAGCCCATCTGGTTCACTAATGCCCTTTATTGAAGGAAATCTGCCATCCACGCATGGTCTACACATGACTCCAGACCTACCGTGATATTGTTAACTTTTAATTGCTCTCTGAATTGGCCTGGTAAGCTACTCATTTATATCAAATCATGATATAGCAAATAAAGAATAAAGCCAGCAGAATCACAAGGTATTGACCTAGCCACTGGAAATGACAACAGTAAACCTGGCCCAAATTAATCCTGCAAAGACATTATGATCATCTGAGAGCTTGTGCCAAAACTAGGAGAGTTGTCCCACAGACTAGTCACTGCCAGATATAGTCATACTCACTGAATCATATGTTCTATGATATCTCTACTTATGTATGATATATTTTGTTGTATCTTCACTGTTGCTGGGTCAAAATCCTTGAACTTCCTTCCAATATCCTTGATGGAAAATAAAAACTGACCTAGCCCGTGACACACACATTCCATGAATAAATAAAAAGAAAGGAATCCTCTTGTTTCTTCTGCTTCAAACTTGACACCGTTGCTTTTCAAATGCACCACAAAATGGTGTAGAGGGCAAGACTAATCAAATTAAGAATTCCTTGTTTCTGATGAATGCATATGTACAAACACGGAGATCAGGAAACGTTTCAAAAAGAAACATTTCTCCACGATATAGTGAAAAGTACTGAAAAGTGAAAGAAAAGCACACATTACTGGGATTAGGACATCAGTCTTCTATAAAGATGCTTTGTGCTTCGTTAAAGAGTGTCAAAGTGTTTGGCAACGACTCTGGCAGCTTTTGTATTTGACTGAGTTTTCAGTGTGACTATGTGAATTAACATGTCCCTGTGTATGCTGAAACCTTCCCTGGTGCCTTCATTACCTCCCTGAATCGACAATTCTGATGCACTTTAGCTGGTCTTCCAGATTCTACCAGGCGTAAACTCGAGGTCATCCAAAACTGTTTTGCACACATCTTAACTCACAGCTAGACCCGATCCCCTAATACTCCTCTGCTCACTGATCTACAGTGAGTCCAGTTTTTGACTTAAAAACATTGATCCTTGTTTTCAAAATCGGTTCCTCTCCTTTCCCTTCCCTCTCTTTGTAATCATCTCCAGCTCCATAGTCTTCTAAGATAGCTGTGCTGCTCTAATTCTGGCCGCTTGAGCATTCCCAAGAAAAATTTCTCCACCTTTGGCGACCGTGCCTTCAGTTGTCTAGGTCCCAAGGTTTGGAATGTCCTCCCTACATCTCTCAGCCTCTCTATCTCACTTTCCTCCTGATTTGATTTATTGTTTGATTTGATTTATTGTTGTCACATGCACCTAAGTACAGTGAAACATTTTGTGTGCAGTACAGGCAGATCATAACATACAAATCCATATAGACCATAGGGTGAACAAAGCAAGCAGAACAAAGGCAAGAACAGCATTAGATTTGAAATTTGAGAGGTTCTGTCAGCAATCTAAATAACAGTTGGGAAAAGGCTGTTCTAGAACTTGTTGGTATGTGTGTGTTTGAGCTTTTGTATCGTCTGCCTGACGGGAGAGGTTGGAAGAGATTATAACCGGGTTGGGAGTTGTCTTTGATGATGTTGGCTGCTTTTCTGCAGTGATAAGAAGTGTAGAAGGAGCCAATGGATTGGAAGTTGGCTTTCGTGATGGTCTGGGCTGTGCTCACAACATTCTGTAGTTTCTTATGGGCAGAGTATTTGCCGTACCAGGCCGTGATGCACCCAGATAGAATGCTTTCTATGGTACATCTGTAGAAGTTGGTGAGGGTCCTTATGGGCATGCCGAATTTCTTTCATCTCCTGAGGAAGAAGAGGCATTGTTGTGCCTTCTTGACTGTCATGTCTGTGTGGGTGGTCCACGAAAGATTGTTAGCTATCGTCACTCCCGGGAACTTGACGCTTTCGACCCTCTGCACCTCTGCTCCGTTTAAGTAGATAAGGGCGTGTCCTCCTCCTTTCTTCCTAAAGTCGATGATAAGTTCTTTAGTTTTGCTGATGTTGAGGGAGAGATTTTTATCTTTGCATGAAGCATTCTATCTCCTTTCTCTATTCTTTAAGGCACTATATATTTGACCAAGCTTTTGGTCATCAGATTCTATTACTCCATGTGGCTCAGTGTCATACTTCAGGCTTTATAATTCTCCTGTGAAGCACCTTGGGATGTTTCATTACATGAAAACTACAATATAAATATAAACTGCCGTTATTTAATCTGTTTTACTCTAGTAGACTCTTCTATTTTCTAGGGGGTTGGTGTCTCACTGCATTGAGATTCTTAAGGTAAGAAATATAACACTACTATTAAAGACTGAAGGCTGGATTTTTCTTTTTGCAAAGATGGGCTAGATTTCGAGATCTTTATAAATGGAGGCTGAACCTGATTCTGAGATTCAACTGGCAGTTGTTTTTCAGTGTGTGATAAGGGCATAAGTAGCGAGCCTGCACCATGCACTCCTGCTATGGTCAGTTCCATTGCAGAGATAGGCATCTCATTGCCACCTTCACACTACCTGGAAATGTTTCATGGAATCTAGCTTCTCAAGGGCTTAACAGTTCATGGCCCCTCAGAGGAGTTGTGAACCATAGTCTGGATTCATGAAAGCTAAGTTTAAAAGGTGCCACCTATGCCCCTTTCATTCTCCCATGCCACCTCCATGCCCACTTGGCCCTTCCATGTCCCCATGTTTCCTCCATATACGCTTGCCAAGCGTGCAATTTGGACAAAACCTATAAGCCATATCATAACAATGGAAAGTCCTGGAATGTTTGTGATATCTAGCCATCTGTTTTGTTGATGCAGTTCCCAGATGACCTCATTATGAATGCTTGGCTGAACTCTAAGATGCACTCGTAGATTAGCACAGTGGGGTTATGTTTAGATAGCTTGAGGGAGTGTTTTAGCTTTGATTGACTGACATCTTTAGAGTATGTTACTTTTTCTTTGATCTGATTTCTGTTTCTTCAATGTCTGCATGTCTACTTAAACAAGATTAAGGTGTGTGAAATATGGTAAAGATTTTGATATTGAAAATATGATTGACTGTTTCATTGACACTTCTGTAACATCATTGTAAGAGATAAGAGAATAGATTTTTTTCAAAGCAGGTTTCTGAATGGATGTTCCTTTCATGGGTTTTATTAAACTTGCCATTGTTTATTATGTAGCTTATATTACTTCTGTACATAGCATACAGTGGACATGGAAAGGACATGGAGGTGCGATGGGGGCATAGAGAGATGGTGGAGGTGTGAGGTGGTTCAAAAGGCGAACTCTATAGGGCTTAACAACCTTTAATACAACTGGGACAATGTCCCAGAAAACTGAGGAGGTGCTGCAAACCAACCCACCCCCTCCATGGCTGCATTCGAATTGCTTCCTGGGGTAGCAGACCTGACATGATCCAACCTCCTCCCTACCCAGAATGAAAATAGTGGATGCACAGGGTTTTAAATGGAAATGCAACTGCTGCTGAACTCGACTTTCTCCTCCAGATATTCGGAACATAGAAACAGGAGTATGCTATTCAAATCCATCATACCCGATCTATGCCTCAACTCCATTTACCCACTTTGTTTCATCTCCCTCAAAACCCTTACAAACAAAATTAAGACTTTAGTCTTAAAAGCTGTAATTAACAGAGTATCCACAAATGTTTGTGGGGAGATCAAATTCTCGATTTCTGTAGAAATGGAAACATGCTGTTGGATTTGCCTTTTAAAAAGTCAAACTCTAAAAGTGTGCTTTCTTATTGCGCAGCTCCCTACCAGGAGAAAATAGTTCCTGCGTTTCCCCTATCAAGTCCTCTTAACATTTTATCACGGGATAGATGTATGTGTCGGAGAAAAGATGAATTGTGGTATATTTCTTCATAAATTTAGAGACTATGACATTAATAATTATTATTCGCAAGATAAGTAATTATCCTCAGTGCATCTAACAGTATATGCAACTGTACAAACCAGATAGATACACACCAAGACTGGACGGACCATTCCAAAATTTTCACACTTCCTTCGCATTTACACCTATCAAATCCCATCTTGTATGTGAGCTCACTCGGTTAAGACCATCTCGCGGTGGGAATATGAGTTTGAATGTTTCAGAGGAGCCAGACACTCAACAACTTGGTGAAATTTTAAGTTTGCTGAAAACTGATTCCCTTACACAGAGTCAAAATTGTGTCCATTATAATCAATTGGCGAAAAATTATTCAGGATCTGATGGTGAAACTGTTGGCAAACCTTGGTACAGGATGAAAACTTGATGTAACAAATATCGAATAACATGTTATATTAGGAAAGGAATACATGACAATTTGTTTTGTTATTTTTGGTTGTTTGCTTTGAAGAGTTAAGAAGAGCCGATCATCACAGTCACGGACGGTTCTATGCTCCTGTTTTACAGATATGTCATACTCTGACAGAGAAACTTGTTGCTATGACAATGGGATCAGGGGCGAAGATTAAGTCGCCAGCGAGACTCAGCGACATAATCGTAGTGGCAAAGCGGATTAGTCCGAGGTGAGATGGACCTGTCTCAGGATAGCAGCTCACTTTGTTGCTTGGTTGCTGACTTTAAGTATGAGGGTGAATCTGCAGAGCAGAACTTCTCACAGTGATTGACATTAAGGCCGGTACCATCGATGATATAGTAGATGGTGGGAATTGGCTTTTCACAATGGGTTAGAAGCTGGTTGTTCACTGCTGTTGAGTAACATTTCTTGTGCCTCCCAGGAGGACCCAGAGAAAAGTACAGGGGATTGCATCTTCAAATCAACATGAGACCTCCTGAAGCACAGGACCTTCATGGGGAGATTGCAGTATTGCCATAATGTCACTAGACTAATAATCTAGATGGTGGGCTAATGCTGCAGGAAAATTGGTTCAAATCCCACCATGACAACTGATGGAATTTAAATTGAATTAATAGATCTAAAATGGAAAATTATATTGTAAAATTATATTATCAAATTATAAAATTGAAAATTAATAGTGACAATGAAGCATATTGTTACAAAAACCCATCTGGTTCAATAATGAAGAATATCTGGCTTTCTTAATGTTTTCTGGCCTAGATTTGACTTCAGATCCATAGTAATGTGGCTCATTCTTAACTTCTCTAGCAAGCCACTCAGTTTAAGGGCAATTAGGGATAGATAACAAATTCCATTGCAAGAAGGAGTAAAGAACCCTCAGTAAAACATGAAGTATCCTAGGGCTATGGAAAGAATTTCCCAGTTTCCATCTCCTTTCACAGTTCAATCAAGTCTCCCTTCTCTTCTTATCTTCGCCTTTCTGTTGAAAGTTGCCTAATGTTTGTTCCTCACCTCACAGGCACTGATATTTTGCATCAAATCACTTCACTTTGTAGCAATGACTATTCATCAATTCACCTTGTGATGGAAAATCCCGATGGCTGTAATTTAAAGAGGGAACATGCAAGTGACAACGTCAAGATAAATTAGTACTTACCCCATAACCATTTTGAAGTTTCTTTGCTTTTCTTCAATGTGTTGTGCTGAAGAGTGTGATATAAATCTGGTCAAGTAAATGCAGTAGGATGACATCAGGCAAGAAGACTAAGGTCAATGAAGTGGCTGCTGTTTGATTGAACATCAACTGATGATTGACTGAGAATGGCACAATGTCACACCTACCATTACTGGAAGAGCACAGTAACATTGTCAGTGGTAAAATGCATCTTCACCAAAATGCTATGATAGATGAGGGAATACAATAATGAATCAAGTTGAGAAGTTAAAGGCTTTGTCAGTGAATGATTCAAGGGTATCTTAAAGATTGCGAAGAGTTTTAAGACTGTTTCCATTGGTTGTTGAAATGATACCAAGGGAACGCTAACTTAAATTCATCAAAATGATTTGCTTATGTATCTCAATGTTCTAATTATGCTGTTTAAATATTATGACATTTAGTCATTGCTTTCTGTAAGGGGAGAAATCAGCAAATCCTGTTTCCAGCTTGGGTGCACTGTACAATAACGTATGATGTTTCTTTTCTTTCTGTCACTAGGGTGGATGATGTTGTGAGATCAATGTACCCTCCACTGGATCCTAAGCTCCTGGATGCCAGGTCAGCAGTTTCAATTGCTTCTAAAATGTTAATACGTATATAACAATAGATTGAAACAGGTGTGGCGCTCATTTTCAAGTGACATATGTTAAATGAGTGGAATAATTACACTTGGATATGAGCATGGTTCCCTGCACAATTGGAACATAAGCTGATTTTACTATTGCGTAAGACTGTTTAATTCTGGCACATCTTAATTAAAACAGACCTTGTGATAGATGTGCACAGATGACTGCAAGGAGAAATGAGCCTATTTGGTTGGTGCTATTGTTAGAGTGCTCTTGGCAAGAAATGTTTACAGCCATTCAGCCCATCTATTCACTCCGGCTCTCTGCGAGACCAATTCAGCTACTGCCACAGTCTCAAACTTTGCCCCTAGCCCCTTGCTTTATCTTTCAGGCGCTTATCCAATTAATTTTTGAAAGCCACAATTAAATCTATGTTCACCACAGTCGCAAAAACATGCAATCCAGATCCACATCACTCACTGCAGCTCCTGTTGCCTTCAGTTCCTTTCTCAATCATTTAAATTCTTGTCCTCTGGTGCTTTTTGAAATGCACAATTATTGTCCATCTACATTATCCAAACCCCTTGTGATTTTGAACACCTCAATCAAAACTCCATTTCATCATGTTTCCTAAGGAGAGACATACCACCTTCTCCAATCTATCCATGTGCCTAAAGTCACCTATGCCTGACACCAGTCCATTGAATCTTGTCTGAACCCTATCCAATGCACATCTGTCGTAAAGTGTGGTGCCTAAAATTGAATGCAAAGCCTCAATTGAGGTTGAACTGGTTCTTTATGAAGGTTTATTATAACTTCATTTCTGAGGAACAGTCACTCGATCTGAAACATTAACCCTGATTTCTCTCCACAGACGCTGCCAGACTTGCTGAGCTTTTCCAGCAATTTCTGTTTTTGTTTCTGATTTACAGCATCCGCAGTTCTTTCGGTTTTTATCTATTGTAACTTCTCTGTAGAACTTGATGATTCTACTAATGAAGCCCAGGATCCTGTATGCCATTTAATCACTTCTCTAACCTATTGTGCCAGCTTCAAAGTTTGTGCACATACGTCCCCATACTGTGCTCTTGCATCACCTTTGGAATTATCTTTTATTTTGTATTGTTTCTCCTTGGTCTTCCTTCAAAAAAGGTAACAGTTTACACTTTTGAGCATTAAATTTCATCTGCCATGTTCCTGCCCATTTCCTCAGCCTGTCTGCATCCTCTTTAAGTCTATTACAAAGCTCCACAGGGTCCACGATACTTCCATGTTTCATGTCATTTGCAAATTTTAAAATTATGACCTAACTCAAAATGATGTACCAAGAATGGCAGTGGTCCCTGGTGAACTCCAATGTAGACTTCCCTCCAGCCCCCAAACATAACCGTTCACCACCATTTTGGCTCCTGCCAACTTCATACTCATGCCACCACTGCCCACTGAACCGATCTCATTCCCCAGAACCAGATCCAGCAATGCCACCTTCCTCAAAAAGCCACAAACGTACCAATCAAGGAAATTCCCATTAGCACATCACAAACTCCTCCCTGTCTGTGCTTTCCATCTTTATGATTGCAGGACTTATTCAGACAATTAAAGCCCCCCTCATTCTAAGTTTTCTATAGTTTCTGCACTTCTCTGTAGCTTCCCTGCAAATGTGCACCTCTTTATCTTCCTCACTAGATGATGAAGAATATATTACACCAATGGTAACATTGTCGTTTCTAGTCAGGCCCTGTCCTTGACTGCTCTAAGACATCTCCTCTCTTCAACAGTGTAATGCTCTCCTTCTACACTCCAATTGCTCCTCCTTTTCTATCACAACACCATGTATTCAGGGATATTTAGTAAACAGTGCTACTCCCTTGTGAAAACAAGGTGCAGAGCTGGATGAACACAGCAGGCCAAGCAGCATCAGAGGATCAGGAA